AATCTGCACATGGCAATGATAAGAGGAGGACTTCCCAGCAGTGTGTCCTGGCAATCAATGAAATGCGACAATGCTGTTGTGACACGCAGTGATTATGGTAATCTTGCTGGAGCTGAGGCATAGCGAGCATTTCAAGCCAGCAGCAAGCATCAAAATGGTCCAAGAGCAACATCCTGCGAGGACAGATTGGCAATGTTCCCAGGGCGCGGGTGGCTGAGTTGGTGAACAACGACCCCGACGCCCCAATTCCTCCCAACCACAGGGCGGAGTTGTTTGGAATCATGTCAAGTCTTGCAGGTTGGTGTGCACATGTCAACATTGCTTGTTAACACTCACCTAGCACATGTTGTGCTTGAGTTGGAGGTGCAACAAAGAGGTGTGCCAGCGACAGTTGCTGTTTTGGAGCAATGCATACAAGGCCTGAAGCTGCCCAAGGGTACTCCTGTCCATTTGTTTGACCTGCTCCCTAATCAATTTGGAGAGTGGTCCAAAGCTGTTTGGAAGTTGCAACTTGATGCGCTCAACCTGCCCTCTGACCAAGTGCCTGAAGTGAAGTGGACCTACACGGGGTACTTCACAGACCAGGGAGAGCGCGATGCGGCTCATTCTGCAATGGCTGGTCGGGCAGTGGAGGACTGGTGTGTGTGTGTGTTTTAGGTGCTTTGGGGCGGTGTAACATGTGTCCAGCCCTTGTGGTCTTGCAGGCAAACATAACACACAACATGCTCGGTCATGCAGGAGTGGTGGGATGATTCAGCAGCAGCCGGCCCAAAGACACGTCCTGCTTCAAGGTTTGAGGATCCTGTCCCATCCATGGTGACGCTGTCTGTAGATGACTGCACTCTCAAGATTCATAGTTGAATTTGTTGCCTTTTGGTTCACTCATTATGTTAAACTCCTTGATAAAACTCCTTGATTGGTTCACTTCGTCATAGTTATCTTCATTGGATTGAATAAAGTTAGACGCTATCAGCCCAGATTGTTACACCCAGTTTGGCCCCACAAAGGATTCCAGACGTATTGAAAATTCGGTTCTCCACTGATTCCACCAGTTCGGGCAAAATGGATGAGCTCATTCGCATGGTGAGCAAAGCCAACACTCCGGTAGTCAAGCGTGCTTTGAAGGGCCATTCAGCTGCGACTATTCCTGCTTCGACTACCCACAGCACAAAACCGGCACCGGTTACAAATCGCACATCGTGTGAACCTGATTTTACAGATTCAGACCGACCAGTGGACATCCTGCGGGAGGTGGATCTGTTTGGCATGCCTTTGACTGATTTCACAAGCACCAAAACGCTCCTTGACTGACACATGGTTGATGTAGTTAGTAGTGCCTATTTTCTTAATGTCATGCTTGTTGAAGCCAAGGGTCAAGGCCTCATGCCCATGCTTGCGGGAGCCGACGCTTACGGTCCACATCGTTGGCGCAGAAGTTTGGATTTCCAATGGCAGCGAAAATTCTGTGACCCTGTGTGCTGGGGAGTTGTTTGGATTCGGGCTTGGTGGATTCAAGGAGATTGGCTCAGGCTACTTGGCTGCATGATGGCCACTTGTCCCCACAGGTGTCAATGGTGCGTTGCTGAATGTTGCTGGGTCCGACCTTCAACCAAAACAGTCAAATCTAAGGTGTAGCCACTGCGCGTCCCAAAGACTGCATTCCTTGGTTGGCAGTGTCTGACACAATGTTGATGACGGTGTGCAGTGACAGTGGCAAAGCCTTAAAGTCTGTAGCGGATGTCATGTGCGGTCTAGCAGCCAACAGTGGCTTGATGCAAGTGACGTTGACCGACCATGACATGGAGCAAATGGTCAAGGATTGACACCATGTTGTCTTGATACAATTTGCCTCTGTGACTCACTCTTTTTACCTTTAGCACTTTGCTTGGTGCTTGGATTGTTCATGTGTGTGGCACGGCTGAACCACAGGACAATGGCGAAGTCAGGAACTTCAGGTACAAGCTGTCTCCCAAGCAGCGGGTCAATGGCTTCGAGCCAAAGAAACTCACTGACTTCAACAACATCAGGGCCACTCAGCTCGGACAGGTGTTCTTTGATGAGTTCAACACCCTCCCAGATAGCCCTGCAGCCGGCGTTGTTTGGGATGCTGGGGCCTGAGTGCAATGTCACCTCATTTGTGTCAATAGGAAGCAGTAGGTTTAAGAGTTGGCTGAGGTGCGCGTTGCCAACTCCTCACCCGCAAACATTGTGCCAGTGAAGCCAAAGTTTGTATTGAAGTGCTCAGCAGTATTTGCGCCCAACCGGGCATACAAGTTGCCTTGATGTCAGCCTGGTTCAGAACTTGGTGTTACAGCATTTCACATAGACCACCTTGACCTTGGCCTTCAACTTCAATTGTTGCAACTGACTTGTTGGTCCTAGACTTGGTTTTATAAAGTTGCATGTCTTTGTTTAGCAGTGGTGTGTATGTTTGAGTAATTATACCTGTTTGCATACCTGTGTTCAAGGGTGGCTGTGATGTGCTGGTTTTGAGTGTTCATGCCTGGACAAATGGGCGCATGTTTACAACGTACCGGTGCACCGTTGACAAAAATCAAAGTGCTTGTCGCTCTGCTTACTTTATGTGCGTCGGTACTTGCATCGGTCTATGACAATGGTGTGTTTTGCTCTTTCTGCTTGTTTTGGTCTTGTGTGTTGTGCCCACCTGATAGTCTGATAGCTGTTTTGAAACCCTCAGAGTCGGTGCTGGCCGTTTGCATGGGGTGCTTAGACATGGTGCTGGCTGCGGTGGATGCTTTGTCTGATGAAGAAGCCACAGCGGGCGCTGGCGGGTCTACAGCGGCAGCTGGCAAACCCAAAGCCAAAGCGAAGCCAAAAGGAGCGCCCAAAGGAGCCCCCAAACGAGCACCCAAAGGAGCACCCAAAGGAAAAGCAAAGGCTAAAACCAAAGCTGCACCAAAGTCAAAGAACAAAAAGGGTGACGCTGTGTTGCCTGAGGTGGAATCACACGCTGAGCCTGGCACTGAGCAAAAGAAGGATGAACCCAAAGCCAAGAAACCAAAAGGTGCAACCACAATGAAGCGCCCAGCTTCCTCGTCGGGAGCGTCCATGATGTCGCCAAAGAAGGGGAGGGGCAAGCGTCCAACCACAGCAGCAGGAGAACCCACAGCACCCAAAGTGTTCAAGGTTTACAAGTACAAGTACAAGGACAACCACGTGTGGGGCTTCAAGACCAACATGGCCACCAATGAGTTCTTCAGGGTGCGGGCTTTGACAAACATATGTTGTCTTAAAGAGACAGTTGGTGTCACTTTGATATGCATTGTGTTCATCACGCCCTCCTGCAGTTGAAGCCTGATCCGGACATTGCACCAGAGCGCATGGAGGAAATCGCTGCTACTTGCTGTTAAACTGCTGTGGTAGAAATGTGTTCATGCCTTTGACTGTGATTGCATTGGTTGTGCGATCAAACATGTGGACCTGGGGGTTGGAACACCGTGAAGCAATGACAATTGTTTGGATAGCACATAAACATACATACACAGCACACCATGGTGAAACCAGCAGTATACACCAGGCACCAAACAGCGGAGAAGGGTTATGGAACCATACAAAGTAAGCGTCTTCATCTAAGGAGATTCTTCGCAAAGAGCTGGAGGGCAGGAAGGGGGACAAAGCCATGATTGACTCTTTGAAGGTGGGAGTTGCAAATCTGTTGGCAAACCAAACAGCCACAATAACAAACTTGCTCGTGACATGTCATTGTTTGTATAGCGACTGTGAGGATGAGCTGATCCGTGCAGAGAAGGCAAAGAATGCCAAGAAGAAGGCCGATGATGACAATGACAACCAGTGTGGGGCCACTGAGGGTGATGAGCTTGAAGGAGAAGAGGAAGAGGGTGGCGATGAAGATGTAGAAGTTGTTCCGTAGGAAACAGCGCAGACTTGTGGACATGGTGCGAGAAGGAAAAAAAGAGTTGCTTTGAAGTGAAGCTTGGGATGGGAGGTTTTCTGAGGTGTTGTCAGTTTCGTTGCTCACACTAGCACAAAAACCCTGATACCTGGTTACATTTTTGTACCCCGGTTAGGTGGCAAATGTTTTCTTTGTATCATGCTAGTATCATGACTCTGTTTGCCGAGTTTCTTCCTGGTCAATGAAAAGATCGCACAACACGCACCCCAACACCGCTTGGTCGTACATGTCGGACTTGATTGAAGCAGTTTCGCGTCTTTTGTGTTTTCCTTCGCACACACAGACAAAGATCACCTGGTGCTCTCTTCAAGGCAAATTCTGTGACAAACAATTTGGACTGGCTGTGGCATTGACCTTGCTTGCAGCAAAAATCTTGTGATATTGCCTGCTGGCTGTGGATGATATGCTTTCCCACCTGCCAGGAGTGTAGTTCTCCAGTTCAGTCTGACAACTAATAGCCCACAGGCAGCATAAATCTAGGTCACCGGCCATACATGACCCATGACAAGCCTCAAGGAGAAGCCCCAACCCCGTTGTCGGATCAAACTGAGAGTTACTGGAGTGAAATTCTGGTTGGGCAGTGTGCCAAACCAAGCAGTATATCATAAATACGATAAATATGGGCCTGTATTAAAATAGGGAGACACCCAAGCAACCAATAGGGTAGACAGGTCTATCTTTCTTCCAGGGGTCGATCTGGGAGGTCTCCCTATTTTAATACACACCCATGATATGTGTGGACCATCCTGTTTGCGTGTCCAATGGAGATCCCTAAGTAGTGTTGGGTTGTCCATTGGACGGTCCAGGATGGTCCTGGATGGCCAAACGATTCAGAGAAGACCCGGCACAATCCCCAAGGCCCCAAGGTCGGTGGTTTTAGATGGACCCCTTATAAAAGAAACTGAACTGGTGGTCTCTAATGCACCACTGGACGACTGGAGGCCAATCCCCAAGGCATTGGCACCTCTTCGGGTGCAAGACCTCGAACCACTGGAGCCCACGACGACGCTTCGATGCGGCTGCGGCCTCGAGTGCGTCGCGACGCTGTTTCGACCGATCGACCGAGGTTTAGCACCAGCGCCCAAGCCGAGGAGCGATCCGATGTCGGACGAAGACTTGTGCAGAAAACCCACCCTGTCGGCCCCACAGCAATCCACACCAGTCAGAGTAAGGGGGGTTTGGGTGACCTCCTTTCCCTCTAGCTCCGAAGGTGCAAATTTGATGAGTTTTTTGGATGGGTTTAGTGTTTGGTGCCTTCTTAGCCACTTGCGATTTGAACCAAGAGTGGTTTGAGAGCATTATCTGAAAGGCACTGTTTGGTGTTTGCACTTGTATCATTTGTCACTTGTGACAAATGGATTTGGGCATCTACACCTCACGACGTTGAAACTTCAACCAACTTAAAGCCACGTTTCTTTCTGTGCCACCAGCAAAGAAACCATCAAATGCCGAAGCATTGGTGAGCATTGAAGGCTCAACAGATTTCTACAGGGTGTGTTTCAGCACTCCAGTAGTTACTCACTAGTTGAACAGAGACGAACAGAAGGGTTGAGATTTGGCCACTTGCGTCTTCCGGAAATTTGGCCTCAGGGAGAACTGCAGGGTTTGGGTGTTGTGGTTTCTGCACTTTCGTTCATCTTTGTTTGATCTCTTGGGTGCCACCGGTACCACCCTGTGGAATGGATGATGCTTGCAACTATCCCGGTCCTGGACCTTTGGAAAGGGAAAGCTTCACCTGGTAGAGTCCACCTGATCATCCTTTTTTTGCCATTTCTGTGAGTCGAGTCTTCTGATTTCTGATTTCGGTGAGTCGAGTCTTCCTTTACATGGAACCGTTGAGTCGTCTCACACCGTTCGTCCGGGAAGGCAGCGTTGAATGCGGTGAGTGCCGGGCAGATCTACCTGGACGGTGTGAAGGTGAGGTGCGACCGGAACGGCTGTGGCGGTGAGACCAGGTGCGACCTGAACGGCAACGTCAGTTGCAAGGTGCGATTCTTCCAAGTCTTCAACGTTGTGACCGGTTGGTGCGAAAGAACACCTGGTTGGTTCGGTCACCAGTCCAGGCCTGGAAAAGGTCACAAACGGGGACCCCCTAAAAGGTCACGAACAGGTCGAAGCGGATGACGCACTGCGACTCACCCAGACCCGACCGGCCACGAGTGGCTGGTCACGAGACTTCCAAAAACTGTTGTGGCTGGCTGATCAATTGAAAGTATGAGTTTCCAGGTCAAGGTGTTCCGGAATTGGGAACATACCAAGGAAAGCACATATATGCATGCCAACATGGCAGGCCACCAGACATGGAAAGAGAATAGGTCGGGTTTAAAATTGAGTCTAATCAAGATATTTTAATAGTCATATATTCTGTGTCACCCTGGATGGACTGAATAAAGCCGCATTTTTGGGGGGGTGCGATATTCCAAGCAGAAAAAACACGCACTGTCAATGAGTCAATCAAGAAATCCCGGCCCGGCACCAGTCAGTCAGATTGACCAGTGATTCACTTCCCGCACCAGATTTGGGACAGATACTCAGCACACAGATGCCCGGTGTCATGGACTTACCGAGAAAAGCAAGCACCAAACTCGGTTCTCGACACCCGAAGGCCCGAAGGAAGGTGAATCTCTGAACACATCGATGAACCGATCCGGCGCCGGCCATCTGCGCGGTCATCGGTCGAACCGCGCCCGAGGTGGAGGCTGAATGGAGATCGGCGCCGGCCAAGACACAGGCACGGACGGATCACGGACGGGCTGGGCATTTGGCATGGCTTGCATCGGCTATTCATGGCTGTTCATGATCATGTAAACTGCAGATTGAGAGCCGGATGACCTGCTATCAAAGCGTTTGTTTCTCTTGCGTCAGTCGAGATGGAGATCCCAACACCATTGGCAATATTGTAATGTGGCAATCTTGTAGTCAGAGATCAGCTGCTAACGAGATGATATGTTTTGCGCAGGGGTACTGATATGGTACCAAGTAGCAAGATGAAAGAACAGCAAGATGAAACAAACCTGGAGGTAATGAATCTGCTGCCTGACTTCTGTGCCCTTTGAAGAACGTGGCGGAAGCTCAAGGCCCTTCGGCCCTTCGGGCCGTCGTCCGTTGTCCAGGACAGCCGAGACTTTGACGCCAAGGGCAGCAACTTGTTCTCCTCTCGAGACTTGATGTGCCTCTGCGAAAGAGAGGGCTGGATGGATTGGGCAGCCTGTTACAGGGATGAAAAGCCAGAAGATGAAACCATAGACAGACTTTGCGAGCCTCTAGGAGCTGTTTTTTGACTGTGAAATAGATGCGTTTGCTGGGGGTTAACCTTTGCGAAAGAGATGGCTGGCAGAGCGCAAGGAACCACCACTGGATCGGTAAGGATGGACATCTGAGACATCCCACTGGGCGGGCGTGCGGAAGCGAGGTACATCGGTCGTGTGACATCGGTCGGTACTGAGAGTGCTTCAAACAGACTGAAACTCGAGCAGAGCCCCCAAGATGTGTTTCAAGAGAAATTCTTTTAAGGACTCCGTTCCCATGACTCAGCTTGAAGGGGTACCGACTAGCAGGGAGTGTTCTGCTCTTTCCCACCGCACTCACCAGGATGGGCCGGGTGCGGAAAGAGCAGCGTGACGAGGGCCGGTCCACCCGGCATGGAGGCGGTTCTTTCGATTTCCGCGCGGCTGGGACCCGGCGGTGCGGCGTGGTGCGGTGGTGCGGAGGTTCTTTGCATTTGGGGGTTAGCGCTGGAGACAACTCCAGGGTATAGCCAAGTTGCGGAACATTTTGAGGGGTACATTTCAGTAGAGGTAGTCACAAATCGCTGAAATCATTCCAAAGACAGCAGCAGACTGAGTAGAGGCTGTTGTTGGGTTGGGCCCTGATACAGTAATTTCCACTCCTGCACGGTTTGGCGGCGGGGACCTGCTTGAGACCTCTCCAGAGTTCCAAACAGGCCAATGAGAGGTTCTTCAGGCAAAAGGACCAGCTACGGAGCCTCCTTGGAGCATTAAATCGTTGGTTTTCCTACATTCTTCGCCTGGAAGTTCCAGATTCCCATGGTTTCTTCACGCAATCATCCCATGTCTCTGTGCTTGGAAAAGCACCTGCACCTGCACCGCCACGCGCAGGCCGCGATGACCGGCGGCGGCGGGACCGCAGCCGAAGTCGCGATCGGGACCGATTGTGGTGCTGAGATAGGGCCGAGGTGGGTGGGAGATGTCGACAGCCATGACTGGCTTCCAAGAGCAAGCACAGTCACTGTGAATGGCCATGGCATACAACTCCTGGTTCTTTGGGTGGATTCTGAGTACTTTGCCTGCCTTGAATTGACAACGAGATACAGCGAGAGACGAGTCATGTGCTTTTGGGAGGATTTTGGACGTCAACGAATGAATCATCAAGGTCCTGAGTCCTGAGTCCGATGGCTTGTCGTTTGCATTGTCAGATAAAGAAAAGATGCTGCCGTGCTTTCCTTCCAAAAGCATCGGAAACATATACAGTTTCGCTTTTTGGGTGTTGGGATCATAACAGAGCGTAGCACACACAGAGATCATCTTCTTTGCAGGGAGATCATTTTCAATTAAAAAGATTTGTTCATCTCTCTTCGGTTCTTTATTGGTTCGAACAGAGAGATGTCGCTTTTTCGGTGCCAAATTTGCAGGGTCGACACATCTGTGACACAGCTTTCCAGGCGTTCGGTGCTTAAAAGCGTCGGGTCTTCAACCACCGGCTTATGCGTCGCTGGAGCCTCGTTTGATAGAGATGGAGTCTCCGCTGATTCCGCAGGTCAAACGATCCCACGTTTACTCACCCGACGACGAGTGACACGTGGGCCTCCGTCGGGGCGAAAGGTGAGTTGGGTGCATTGAATGCTCGACATGACAAGAGCCATTGACAAACCGCAGAACATAGTTCTACTGCGTATAGGACAGTTGGACCGTTGGACCACTATTTGTTTCGGGTGGTTTAGTACTGGCATGTACTGAATATGGTTCATGAACGCTATTTGCTCGCTGTCTTTGGGTGTGGCCGTGGACCGCGTGGCAAACAGACTGTCGATGCTAATGCGTCGATGCCAACGTGTTTGTTTGCAGGACAGGCGCAACGACAAGAAGAAAGAGAAGAAGAGGAAGTCCCGCAGCTGCTTGGCCATTTGTTATCATGTGTTCCACTTTGTCTTTTGCACAGGAGATTGTTGGAGAGACTAAGCTGAACAGCAGAAACCGGGAGCGTAGATTTGGAGTTTCTGCCTTACCCTCTCATCAAGATATTGGCGCTTGCAGAAGCTTCGAAGTACTATATGTGTCCTTTCATTGTTTCTGAATGTTTCTGACCATTTGCCCTACATGGGTCATGCTTCAACTGTTAGGCCCACAACTGCTAGGCTTAGGTCTGTTGTTTCTGTTGCCCTTCGGGATGTACCCTGTGTTTGAGTCATACCGAGATGCTAATAATTGCTAATAGGCACACCCAGTATAATGAAAAAGCATGCATGTCCAAAATGGTCCACTCGGAGGTCGACACTGTCAGGGTGTTCAGTCGGTGAATTTGCTGGTCCTTGACACCTTGAGGTGAAATTTCTCGCTCAAATGGCATGGTCCAACTAGAAAGGTCCCAGACCCCGTAGACTTCAGGAGGGCACTGGAAAGAGAGTAGATGGCACAATCCCCCTAGTTGGGAGGTTTATGTGGACCCCCGCATAAAAAGACATTTGGGGGTGCCAGTGCCATCTACTCTGAAACCATTTGAAACCTTTGTACATGTTCATTTTGTTGATTCCCAATCACCTCTTCACCACTTTGGAGGTAGCAGTAGCAGCAGTAGCAGCCCGGCGACCTCAGCCGGTTCCGCGCGGTTTCGTGGACAGTGACTGTCATGTGGGAGAGGCAGAGGACTGTCGTTTTAGTATAACTTTAAGCCCCAGGATGCTTTTGCAAGAGAACTCCAGTGGGTGGTGGTGCTCTACACCTCTTTATGTTCAACCTTTACTTAGCACAATTGATCCCACTGACAAATCTATGAAGTGAGTTGAAACCACTAGCCAGACCGACCAGACCTATAGCTTCGTGTTTGTGCACCTTAGAGAGGCATTTGGATTCTCCACTGTGGATGCTCGCAGCATGCTTCGCGGGGCGCGTGGCACATTGAGGCACAAGCAGATGCAAATACATGGTTTTTCCCGGTCACGATCACCATGCTTTTGGAGCTCCAGGAACTCAAGGTGCTCCAGGAACTTTGTTCCAGGCCCATGACGGTGCATAATTTCCAAATCTTCATGAGAGCCATGTATACACCACAGGTCTTCTTCGGAACTGGAAAACCAAGATTGTGCTATAAACTGACCGAGTACACTTGTTTGAACGAAGACAAACAAGTCTTGTTTGGAGTATATGTGGGAATCATCTTCAATTGCAGGATTTGTAGTTCCATTGTAGCCCCCCAAGGTTTTTTCAATAAGCCTTCACCCGCATCTTCCATGTTCAGTTCCTGATGTCTCCATACTTTACACGAGATTTGGCAGTTGGATCCAGGTAGCAAGAGCAAAAAGAAGAAGGAAAAAGGAGGCTGGGCCTGAATGAACCCAGCAGGGCCACAGCATCTACCACTGGTCACGGTGGAAGGAAGCACAATTGCCTGCACTCAGTGCAAACCCTGCACTAACTTGCATCAATCATTGACTTGGAATGGTTCCCTAATGTTCGCTATATTTCGCTATATAATAGATAAACATATAGATAAAAAACGAAGGATACAAATAAACGCAAATAAATATAGAAGCATTTCACTTATTGGAAACATGTCCAATATATTCATGGAAGGGAATTTGCTATCTATCTACCCGTTGATCACCTCCCAAGCCTAAGAAGTGATGAGTGTCTCACGACGAGTCACACACGACTCAGCCCCCCTGAGGCAGGACCGAGAACTCCGGTTCAAAGCCTGTCGAGAGTCAGAGCATTGTTGTAGGGGTACCAGTTTGGGCACCATTGGATCAAAGAACCCTGAGTTTGAGTCCAAGAAGCCAGGCTGCTTGGGTCAATTTATAGTGGTTTGAATTTGCTTCGTGATTCTTTTCAAAACCATCCGTTCAGGTTGTTCAATTCTCCCCTCACACTTGGATTCGGGGAACCTGGTTGGTCAACTCGTCAATGAGAACACAAGATCAACATGAGTGCTAACACCCGCGGTGTGTCGAGAGCGCCCAAACGCTCTCGACCCCCTCAGTAAAGATCGTGCGCTTGCCGTCCAAGAAGGGTGACGGCTCGGGCCTCCCAGAGGGACCGGATCGGCGGCGCGGATCGGCGGCGAAACTCGCTCAGCACAGCGGGTGGGCGTGGCTTTCAGAAACAGCCCAACACTCCGGACTGGAGCAAAAACACTCCAGGGATTAGGTTCGGGAAAACCTGTATGTGTGATGTTTTCTTTGTGTTTTTTGACACACCACACACACCCAAACATGCAACTGGAAGATATGACCACATTGAGCCCCACTGTACCAGCCCAATGTATGTGCATATATATATAATATATAATTACATATTCATAGGACCATGCATGGCCGCACCCCGGTCCAACCATTTGTGTGTGCAGTTCATGCTCAAAAGGAGGCTGCAACCTCAAAGCTGAAGTGAACATGCTATAGTTAGGAAGGTGGGACTCTTTTTAGAAATCGGTTTCAAATCTATGCTCTAACTAGCTGTCCTCACTCGTCCTTGCCGCTCACTGGTCCTTGCAGCGCCGCCACAAACAGGTACCATTGAGATTGACAGTGACTGAGCACCGGAAAGATCAATCTATAGTCAGTAACGCGGCCGTTTCATCAGAGAAAAGCCGACGGATCTGCAAAAAAAGAGACACCAAAGACCGATCCGGTTTGTCACAGACTCTTGGCGGACACCCAAGATTTGTTCCGCATCATGTTTTCCAACGTCGGGAAGTGATGGTCACGTAATTATGTGATTTCAATCCTTAGAATGCGATGTGATGGATGTTCTCTTTGGCTGAAATCAGATACTATGGCGCATGGATGGGGAACCCACCGGGACGGTGAACCACAAGTGGATCAAAAACGCTGCGGGACGGCCATGAACGGCCTGGTGACCGTGACCAGCGCATGGATTTACTGCTCGGCCGGGTATCAGCATGCTTAAAGGCCTCGCCTTTTGTCTCCGGCTCCAGTTCAGAGTTCACCAGTTCAAGAAGGATGCTGACTTCAGACAATTGTGACCAAACTCAAGAAACTCGAAGATACAGTTGCAACTGGTGAAAGCGAAAACAAACAATTCATCTCTCAGATTTTAGTCCACTCGCTTTGGTGAATTCACAGGTTTTGCGCCTGCGTATACAGCCGGGCCTCAGTTTTTTTTGCTGGGCATCCCAGAATTGCTACAGCTGTGTTTGACATGGCGGCGCCTTTCCCTTGCCTTTTGATCGTTTGATTGCCGGCCATTCCTTTTTCGCCAAGGGTGTGTGCCAACTCAATTCTCGATGCGTTTCTTGGCACGCCCAGGTGCACAGAATGCTGACCTTCAGCTACGCAGGTACGGACGGAAGGAGTAAAAGATGCCGGCTTGATGCTCACTATATTGTGAGGGTGGTTTCTTGACTACGCTGGGTAGCACATACTGGTGAGGGTGGGCCATGGTGGGCCAGAGCATGGGCCTAACAACTTGATGACTGTCACCAGGGTCACCTGTGGGCTTCGCCGTTCGTCCGTCGACCCCATGCGACTTCCAGGCGTGAGGTCGACGACCGATTCCGCGCCAAGGTGCGGAGCGAAGGGACATCGGTGGAGAGGGCGACGAAGAGCTTGGGAGCGGGTACTATACATTGAGCTAGGTATTTAGTGTGCCCATATAAAGAGTAGTTAAACATATATAATAATGTTATATAATCTTATATATGTATTATATTATGAAATATGTGCAACACTGTTCCTGTACATCCTTTATGGCGTCTAGAGCAGCGGCGCCTTCTCCTTCTCCTTCTACACCTATTTACGTGAAGCAGGCTCCCTCCCACAGGAGCCACTCGGATCGGCTGCTCCAGGACTTCCATCGCCTGGAGGGTAGGTCAAAAAGGTGTGGCCTGCTAATGTATACTCTCTTGATTGGTTAACCCCCCATTTGATTTGGAAATGGATGGTTGGTTATATTAATCAATAGTCGACGGAGCTTCCGGAGCAGTCGATCCAGGACACAAAGCAACACATGCGGGAGAGGGGCCATTTTTGATGGAGTGATGAAGTCCTAGCGGCTGTTTGAAGAACTGTCTCTTTTGTGGGTGTGATGAAATGCTGGTCTCAGGCCTTTCCTAGCATGGTGTTCCTTTTTCTTTGGTCCAAGGGATGGCGGCCAATGACCCCGAAACCCTGAATGATGAGGTCTGGAGTTTGGACCCCCACTTTGATGGGATGGTTTGTTTGCACGTGGCTTCACATGAAAGAAACCCGCTGCAATGCCTATGAACCCGCTCCTAAATGCCAAGTACTATATCCTTTTTTCTTCTGTTGTCAGTGGAAATTTGGCCACCCAATCCCCAGAGCTGATCCATTTTGGGCTTTGACTCCCGCAGAAGAAACCCTACCAATGTTCAAGTGCACTGGGGTTTTGCAAGGCCCCGCGACTGGGGGTGTGTGAGGTCATATGCGAGATACTTGGGACGCTACTAGGGGCTCCTGGCTTTGGGCGCTTTGCCCCACAACATCGGCCCACGAAATCGAATGCGCCAATCGCATCGGCTGAAGCTTCGAGAAAACCACAACGCATTTTCTGCGAGAAAAGGACTCAAAAGGTCTGAGTTCCCATCGTCTTTAGACCTCCCAAACTTGGGTTCTGTTCCTTTGCCATGCAGTTCGTTCGGCACAGTCGTGCACAGTGCTCTTATTTGCTGCTTCCTTTGTTTAGGTTTGTGTAGAGGCAGGCTGACCGATACTCCCCAACACACTGAAGGGTCCCGAAGGGTCGCGTATCGTTGGCGAACATCAACATGTTGTTGACCAAAGAAGGGTCGCGTGCTTTGTTTGATGTTCTCGACCATGTTCGCCATCTGACTCCATAGGCGTCCCATGTCGGGCATGCCTACCACTGGAAGGTGGGAGAAGACGGGAAGACGGGAGACATGGCACGGTGGTTTTGTGATGTTTTGTGCCAGATAGTACAGTACTTCCATGTAATTCATTTAATTTACGAAGAGTGGTTACGGTATGTTACGGTTACGTTGTGTTTTGATTGTTTTTTGTGATCATGCTTCTCGGGTTTCACACTGGCAAAGTGGCACGGGTGTTCGTTCGGCGGTCTTTTTGCGAGCAGCCAAAACCTTCAGGAACCGACGACCGAAGTCACCCCAAAGGTCCACCAGGGCTCCAAGACGCTTTGGCGAATCCGGCTTCAGACATTGTAGAAGTCCTGCTGTTTGTTTTACAATTTTACATAGAAGTCCGCAACAATCACAACCAGATTCCAACCGTGAATAAAGAACTATGAAGTACTATGAACGGTAATTTGTACATTTGGGTGTTTTTTCTACACTGTAAGGGTAACATCTGAACACCAAACGTTGATATTACATCCTGTCACCTAGGACCTGGACAGTCCCTTGGACACATGGAGAGAAGGTTGAAGTCGATGAATGCCTCGCTCGAAGTGATGAATGGCTGAGCCATCTCTTGACATGTTTTGTGAGGTCCCCTTCTGCGACGCGAACTCTATGGAAACGTCTCGTCTCAGGGTCTCGCTCTAGCTCTCCATGCCAGACTATCCCCTCGTCAGGTCTCGCTTTTCCGGCCGCCGCCGCTGGGCCAACTTCTCAGCCGCCGCTGGGCCTTGAACCGCTGAAAACAGCGATGTTGGATGGACGTTTGACCCTCCGACTGGAAGAGTCTTCATGTGTTCATGTCCCTCCCACTTGGACGTTGGGACTTATTTGTTTTGTTACCTTGCATGGGCAGTGAGTGATTCTGGTGATGTGGGTTATAAATATATGTATATATATATATATCCACTTGATCCTTCCGTTTGTGATGGTCAGCTGAGCAGGCGGCTGTCCCAAAAGTATCTAGCATGCAGACATGCAATGGGCCCTTGGAAGACCAATCTACAGTAATTACTAACAGAGTCGTCCATTGCGTTCCAATGGATAATATTGAAGTGAGCTTAGACGCAATCAAACATGGAAACACCTTAATTAGAAGCCGGGACATATTCCAAAAGCTGGTGGAGCCTGGCAGAGTCCTGCCGAGCCAATGAGCAGACATTGTGGAGGTTGCTGGGAGCGGATGAAGCGATTTCTCCCCGAATCCTACCCGGTCGACCCCGCTCGATTGCGCTCGACACGCATTGGCTCGACCGCTCACCTAGCGGTCGACCCGTGCGCATTGGCTCGGCAGACGTCACGTCAGGCCAGCGCCTTCACGCTCTTGGCCGCAGCGCATGGAACCGCGCGGCCCAGGTGGAAGCGACGAAACCGATGTACGAAACGACTCACGTTCGGAAGTGGATGGCATGGCCCGTTGGACGACTATTTTCCTCTGCAACCATGGTGGTTTTCCACTCCTCTTTGGGCCATGGAATGCCATGGAGGATGGTGGATATTGGATGGGAGTTGATCAAAAGTCCACAGAAGCCACAGGGTTGGCAACGGGGTGGTGCTTGAGAGGCACCCCAGAATATCCAACCCATTGTCACTAGACGCACCTTTTAGCATCTCCGAAGGGAGAGAAGACTTGACTGATTTTGGGAAACAGGGGTTACAGTATAAGTTGAAGGCTGGGCAGTTTGTGGTATTTATATTGTATATATTGTTTATATTGTAAAATATATAGCGTAGAGTTCCTTGGAAGTAGATCTACGACGTACGAAGAAAGGCTTCTTATGGCTCTTCCACCTTACCCGGGTCCAGCCCAGCCATTTGGGGAGAAAAAGTGCAATTGTTCACCATGGCTCTTCTCGGCTCGGAGATGTGGTTGCACAGATATTTGATTCTTACAGTGATTTACTGTTCGATTGCACTGGCACCCCAAGATGTCTTGCACAGATGGGATTGTGCTCTTGGCAGAGCCGACTACTGTACCGCGTCGCAGCTCGCAGGCGGCCCGGGAAGATTTGCACATTCGCTGGTGGCACCCTCCGGGGTCTTGCTTGCGCTGTGTGTGTGTGTGTGACCATCTCCAAACTCTTGTTCCTTACTGTATAGGTAGGATTGCCTGATTTGGTGGACCATGTAGAGCAACTAGCAAATCACTGTAGGATCTGAACATGTAGGAATTGCTGGGACAGCCGCCTCATCACTGCTTCATTCTGCCTCTGATGAAGTGGCTCAGCCAAAGAGATTGAGAGGTGAATAGTCCAAGCTTCACATACTGTCTTGGGCAGCACAGGTTGTACGATTTATCCAGAACCTCTACCAAATCCATATTTATTCTGCTCATCACAGACAATGCAAAAAGCTCCGTTTGGGCATTGTTGGCTCAAATCCGAGGGGAGTCTTTGCCTTGTGCTAAGTATAATTTGTTTACTGAAGCACTCAGCATGTCATGAAGACTACGAAGGAAGCACGTTTGACCATGACGAACGCTTCCATGTGAGGAGGTATCGTGGAGCCGACATGTGCATCCGGCAGATGCTTCAAGTGTTCACACTGTTCCACCACTGCAATGAGGGAGTAGGCCAGTTGTTTCAACATCGCCATCTGAACCGGCATGCCATATAGCCCATAGTCTCTCCAATAGATCGGCCAAACGATCGCCCAAACGATGTTACAGATGAGGCGAGATGGGGGCCACGTGAGAGAAAAGCAACACATCTGGAAATGCTTACAAGTAGATGTGATGTAGGTCAACTTTCACGCCAGATACCCAAGTCTCACTCATC